ATCACTAGGAAAGTCATCTCCCCATGTAGATCCTGGTGTTGAATGCAGTTTTAATCTAAGGTATGGTCCAGCTTCAGGGTTCCCTAACATAGAAGAGGGGCCTGAAGGTGCAGAAACTGAGGCCTTTATTGTACTGGAGGAGAAAGAGGAACCCCCCCGTTTTTCTGGGATATCTATATTAGGGGTAATACACACCAAAGAGGGTGAGTGTCCTGCCTCCCCATCACAAGAATGGTAAGCCCTGATACGCGTGGAAGAATTTGCAAAATGAATTCACAAAAAACAACAGATTTAATTCTCCTGCAGGCCTTGACAGACAAGCAAAGGGAGTGCCACTACTCCACTTATGAATGAAAGCATGGAACCCTCCTTTTGTGGGTTGTTTTCTTCTCCCTCCACTTCTAGATAAATGGGACCTTGAGTGTCCTGGTCAAGAAAAGCCTGGAAATTTGCTCAGAGTCAGGCCCACTGTGTGTCAAAGGAGCCACAGACAGCTGGAGGGCAGGGCCACTGGCTCTGCTGAAGCCCTTTCCCTCTGCCAGCCATGAAGCTTGTCTGTATTCCATCTGACTTGTTACTGTTTGTGTTTAAAACAAACAAACAAACACTTGGTTTCTATCTCTATCACCCCGATTTGCCAGCAAGCATCACCACCATTCCTCAAAAAGGACAGGAATTACCCATTCCCAGGTTCTGGGACAGTGGGACAGGGTGGCATTTGGTCTCCAATGGCTGGAGCAATTAGCACGGTGTGGTTCCAGGAAGCTGACAGCCAGGCGTCCTCTTCCCACAAAACCCTTCCTGGGTGGGTTGTGTGAGCAGGGCCTTCCTCCTCGTTTTGGAAAAGGCCATTCCTGTTAATCCCTTTCCATTTGACCTAGTCCTGAGAGCTCCACATACATCTCTTTGAAATCTCACAACTCTTGGAGCTAGGTGCTATAACCATGGGCATGTAAGGATGAGGAAACCGAAACTCAGAACGTCGGCTCTTTGCTCAAACTCCCAGCTCTGAAGTAACAGAGCCTGGATACCAAATTAAGTGCCTCTGCTTTATCACCCAGTATAAGGTCCGGAGTTCCCTGAGCCTGGGAGAGTATGTGGCAGCTCTCTTAGGTGTGTGAGTGTGTGTGTTGGGGAGGTCAAATGTAGGTCACAGAATCAGAGGCAGGATTCTAATTGGCCCTTGAGCCTCAGTCCTTTGCTCCAAATTGGTGAAACAACCAGAACGCCAATTTCAGTGGACGAACATGTTAAACTACCCCTGAGGGCTTCCCTGGTGGCGCAGTGGTTGAGAGTCCGCCTGCCGATGCAGGGGACGCGGGTTCGTGCCCCGGTCTGGGAAGATCCCACATGCCGCGGAGCAGCTGGGCCCGTGAACCATGGCCGCTGAGCCTGCGCGTCCGGAGCCTGTGCTCCGCAAGGGGAGAGACCACAGCAGTGAGAGGCCCGAGTACCGCAAAACAAACAAACAAACAAACAAAACAAAAACAAAAAACAAACAAAAAAAACTACCCTTGATAGTGCACAGTCCCCAAGGGCCGAGGCTAAGCCCCTAAGAAAAGATTCTAGACTGCTCTACCTTAGGGTTGGAGAAGGTGGAAAGGACAGCGTTGGGCTGGGAGCACTCTTTGTGTTGAGCGGGAGGAAGAGAAAGCCTGGGTTCCTGGAGGTTCTGCAAAGCATGTAAGGAAATAGGCTGAGGATGTGGGAGTGGGGAGGGTGAGGACGGGATTTTGGCTCGGGGCTGGGGTGGGAAGAATAAGGACAAATGTTCCGTGGCTTTGGCCGGAAGGATCCCAGCGCCCGCTGTCTTTTCTCCTGGGCGGAGGCCAAAGCGTAGGGCAGCTACAATGCGCGGCTTCACTAGTTGGCCCTTCTCTCTGGACGCCCATTACATGGCGCGCGTCTGTGTGTGTGTGAGTGTGTGTGTGTGTGTGTGTGTGTGTGTGTGTGTGTGTGTGTGTGTGTATGTGTGTGGTTGGGAGTAGGCTCTGGCCTTGAAGTCCCTGATAAGGAGCATCTCTGTGCACCCGTGGAGCCCGCACCCTAGAAGGATACTGAGAACACGTTCTGGCCATCAGCAAATTTCCCCCGCTCGCAGATACGGTTCGAAATGAGCTGGCGGACGCCGCTCTGGCACAGATGGGGAAACCGAGGGCCTTAGCGGTTGTTTAAGGTTACAACGCGAAATGGTGGCAGAGCCAGGATTATGGGCCTATGTAAAGTGTGGAAGGATAGAGTCTGAATTGGAAGGGATACAGCTTAATGTGAAGGAAAGTGCCCTTTAGATGTGTTGATATTGACGACCCGCCCCGTACGCCACGCACGCCCCCCACCCCCAGCCCCTATTCTGCTCAGGAGGGTGGATGACTCCTAGCGGCCCGCACCGGGGGCGCACAGCAGGGGCAAACGGGTGGAAGAATGTGCCTGAATGCCCGCTATCCTGCCAGGTGGTCTGAGGCTTCCTCCTGCTGGAAAGCGGGTAATGCGACTCTGCTTTAGGCTTCATGGCCTCCTATACTTCCTGGAAGAGGGGACAGATGTAATCTGGAGCCCTCTCAGCTCCTTTCCTGGGGTGGGGGAGTGGCGGGGGGAGAGGCCAGAGGTGTAAGTCCCACGGAGTTCACCCCGGCCCTTGGGGGTCAGCAGGCCATAGGCTACTGTAGGGGAGGGGGCCGTGTGGGTGGGAAGTTTACAGAACTGATCTCTGTTGGCCCCATTCAGTCCTATGCTTCCTAAACGCATGTTTTAAAAGAAGAAACTGAGGCTGAGATGTGATTCACCTCGGGACCCCGACCCCACTGCCCTCACCACCACTATTCTTCCGACAGCACTCATAGCCACTCGCCCATACCAGAGGAGGTTCCCCGTTCACCCACACGATCTTTTAGAGAGAGATCCATCTCCACAAAGGGAAGTTCAATGAGAAGCAATTATTGGGATGTCAGCACGAGCATCCCCGTACCCAGGTGTCTAACCCAAACTGCCTATTTCTAGTCGACAAATCAACCGGATGGTGACACTCTGCTCTTTTCCGGCTGTGTAGACGCCACCTGAGACGCGCCCCAGTCTCCTTCTCCGTCCACCAGAGCGGTACAGAGATGGGGCCCGCTTGCTCCGTCCGCTTTCTCCGCAGCGCCGCGTCCCAAGGAGCCCCGAAGCTGGACCAGGCTCTGGCCAGACAGGGCCAGGGCCGAGGGCCCAGGAAGGGTGCCTGGGTGGGCGCCGTCCAAGCGGCCGAGCGACGGCTGCAAGCGCCTCCTCCTCCCTCGCGGCGCCAGCACGCGGCCCGGCCGGGCTCGGCTCCCAGTCGCCTGCCACCGGCCCGCCGGGCACACGCCTGGGGCGGGATGGAGGCTGAGCCAAGGCCGCCGAGATGCCTGCAGCGGCGCCGAACAACCAGCGAAGCTGCTCCGCCCCCACCCCCAAGCTCCATCACCTCCCCCCATCTCCTTTCTCAGATCCACCCTGGGAATACCCCAAAGACCTCTCCTCTTTATACACCCCCTTAGCCGGTCCGGAAATAATCTTTTTTTGGGGGGGGGGGACGGGGCGCGGCGGTGATGCTACAGGCAGCTAGGTCATCCTGGAAGAGTATCCCGGCCATACACACCTGTCTCCCTACAGCTCTGGTTACCACCACCCCTCAATGCGATCACCTCCCTTCTTCTTGGCCTCCTCCACACTTGTTCAGCTGTAGGGGGCATATCCTAGATTTCACAACTGGATGGGACGTTAGAGACCATCTAATCCAACCTTCTGTTGTTACAGGCGAGGAAACTGAGGCTCAGAGTGGATGTCACTTACTAAGGGTCACGGAGCTAGTGAGAGGATGCATTGGGACCAGAACCTAAGTCTTAACAGTACTTTAACAGTCCCACGGAGTCCTCCCCATCTCTCTGAACTTCAGTAGCAAATTTCCTTCCGCTCCCAAGAGCATCGAAAACCCCCAAGAGAGTGACAGTGGGGTAGGAGAAGAAAACAGGAAAAAATGGAGCCTCACTGCCCCCAACTTCCACACCTCCCCGTGTCACATTTTCTGCCCAAACCCTTCCCTGTGATTTTCTCCAAGTTCTCAGGAGAATCCCGGGACGCTTCACCCCAAACCTTTCCACCCATACACCCCCAATTTCCAGAGCTATTGGCCCGTCGGCGACGCTGCCCTCCCCCTCCCCACCCCCCCTTCTAGAACCAC